GTACTTCGTTGTGACAACTATGAACAGGCACTTGTAGGATTCACGAGCGTGTCAACTCTCGTAATGGGTGTCGAGACAGCTACAATCATTAAAGCAAGCTTGAATAATCCAGTACCAACAACGACATTGAGTAGCACGAACATATTCACATCAGTACGCCCTGTAGATATGAAAATTCAAGTCATACGTTCTGGAGACACCACGATCGAACATTACTTCACTCGACTGAAGGTAAGCATCATGGAAGTGTAAAGCCAAAGTGAAAAAAGGAAGCAGGGAGAAGCGAAGCTTCCCCTCATTTCACTTTAATCTCTGTTGGACTCATGGAAATATCGCTTCCACTGTCGTCACTTGATTCATTCTTCTCATTATACACGCACAGGCAGTGACATCTGTCCTTGCATTTCGAGTCCACCACCAGTTTGTGGTTTTTTCTCTTACTCATTTTTTTCCACAACCCTTTCAACCATTGAATAAAGCGGTTCATTTAAGAACGAAATCAAGGAACTATGGAAACCACCAAAATGAAGAGGTGCAACTCGAGTGATCATCAGTGGATTCAAGGGAAACATATACTTCATCGATCTTATCGATTTCTATTCAAAACAACACAAATCGATACAGAAAGTATTAGGAAGACAAAAGAGTACCGGATTCTACAAGAATCGTGGATACAAGTATGTCCTTGTATGTATTGATGGATATTCGAAATACCTGATGACTCGGAAACTGATAAGCAAGAGTGCTACAGAAGTCACTCATGCGATGAAGGACATCATTCAGACATATGGTGAATCACCAAAGCATATTTGCTCGGATCGAGGTACCGAGTTCACCAATGCCATCTTTCGTACCAACATCTTGGACAAGTATGATATCACCATGTATCACATGGATTCAGCGAATAAGGCAGTACTAGCTGAACGAACAATTCGAGATATCAAGGAAGACATCATGGTTCCATTCAATCAATGGAAAGGTGTGTGGTTCGACTTGATCGATGGTGCGGTTCGTAGACACAATGGAAGGATGAACAGAGACATCGGATATACACCCAATGACATTTGGAACAACGATATCTTGTACATGGAGAAAACAGAACCATCCAACATGACAGCAAAGGACACAACACCTCAATTCGATGTTGGTGATTATGTTGGAGTGACACGAAGACCTCGCATTCTGGAAAAACGATCATTGACGAGCAAATGGTCTCAGGACTTGGTTGAAGTTGTTGACATTGACGATCACATCATGCCATTGATGTACGAAGTGAAAGATGGAAACAATCGCACCCAAAAGTGCTATCATTGGGAACTGCTGGCAAGCAAATGCAAACCACAACCAGCACCGCCTGTCACTCGATCCAAGAGTCGAAAGGAACCCAATGCATTGAGAGAGGCAGCAAGATCACATCGACCTATTACGAGCACCCAGAAGAAAGGTGCTCGAAAACGATCGTGATGCTCTTCACACCACCGAGAAGCATGATAGGAAGATTCGAATACGTACGAAGGACAGGAGAGGTACCAACATTTACAACAGCATAACCAGTATGAGATACAAGACTATTCAATGTATCGATGTATGGTCTGTCTAGGATAGGCGTATTGTCAAACGTGACTAGCACTCGATAACCCTTTTCAACCACCGATTCGATTGAGTCGCAATCGTTGAACACGTCGTAGGGGGAGGCATGGCCTCCCCCGGGGGAAGCAGAGCTTCCCCCATTGTCGGGAAGGTAGGTTATGACATTCGTGGTCACCAGGTATGATCCGGACGGCATAGGCGGCATACCATCACCACCCCACTCGCCATTGAATGATTTGGTAGCTTCTGGTGTGTACTCGAAGACAAATGCTTCGTTCGCTTTCACGATGCATGAAGCACTGCCCCACGAATACTGAGGAACGCCATCCACTGTTTCTCGAATTAGCACATGATGACCGTCCTTCTCTGGCATGTTGATGAGCATGTTATCGAGCTTCTTGAACGTGTAATTGTTTCCATTGCTGCTGAAGATGTACGACATTTCACTTTGTCGCTTCTATTTATTGGGCGAGAATGGGATTCTCACCCGGGGACAACTTTGTTGCCCCCATTTCTTTCCCTCGTTGATATGCACGAACGTACACACCCTTCAGACACGCGCCATTATCGATGAACAGATCGGACAACTCGGTCGGAAGCGTATCATCTGCCACCTTGTAAACCACGCGAACATAGTAGTTGGAGAAGAAGTAAACAGCACGATTCTCTGTCATTACACCGATAATATAAAGAGGCAGTGAATCATTCCTCCAAAACACATTTAGAGGCACACCGAGCAGACCATTGGATTTCAATTGAGGCAATAGATACTCCCATTCATCCTCGGTAAACATGGGCGGACGAGTTTCATCCAACATCATCTCGATACAATCATAGTCGTGCAGAATCAAACTACAGTTCACATTTGCCTGCGGGGTGCGAACACTGAAGCCGAATAGTCGCTCGGAATTGATCGGATACTTGGTATGAATGATAATGTCGGCGAGTTCGATATTCTCGTCTTCACAAGTGCACACCAGGGAAGACCCTGTGTTGTTCTCCATTTTCTTGTATTTCATTTTTATCAAAGCATCCAGTGGGGTTAAAAGATAAAATATAAATATATAAATATATAAATGAATAGACCTACTCACACATTGAACCCCAATACTGGACGAGAAATTCAAATCAACGGAGTTCGCTTCTGGAACCTTCTCAAGCGTGGATTCAAGTACGACGAGAAATTGAATCGCTTGTACGACAAACCATTGCCTGAGGATACGACGAAGTACGTTCCCAAGTCGAGAATGCTATCACCCAACAATCGTCCCTTAATCATTGGTGGCACAGAATTCAATGAGTTGATCCGTGACAATTACAGACGCATGAAAGGACAATGGGTGAAAATGACGAAAGAAGAAGCCAAAGCGTGCGATAACGACCCAGACATCAACAAGATATTCGCAAACGACGATTCAGACGATTCGTCGTAGGAATCCGAGTACATCGACATTGATGAGTTCGAGTATGACGCGGATGGCCATGCCATTTTCCCATTCTAGGGGAGGCTTTGCCTCCCAACTAATTCACTTTGGTCACGCGTGTATATTCACTTATAAACTTTGTGACCCTAATATAAATGAGTTCACATCGCGACGAATATACTATCAACCCTGAGACTGGGAAACAAATCAAAATCGGTGGGCTGACATGGAAGCGATTGGCGGCCAAGTACTACAGGGTCGGCGATAGGTTCACCGATCAGACCATTCCTGATTCACGAGTGTATCTGTCGAACAAGATATTTGGGATGAAACTAGCAACACCGAAAGCACAGGTAACACGTCGTAAACGAGTGACTGACCCTACAAACGAGAAGAAGTACGTGTTCGTAGGAAGCAAGACATGGAATGAGCGGTACAACCTGTACGAGTGGGATGGGCACAAATTCGGTGAGAAGCGACAACTTCACCTACCCGGTTACCTGAACACCGTGGAGAAAAGGCGTGAAATAAGACGCAATAGAGCATTCGAACGCTTTGATCGCAAGGTCTCACAGGGACGCTTAGATAATGTGATCGATTCGTCACTCGGGTATGCACTCACACACTATCACACCGTGGAAGGAGACATGTACAAGGAATGGATGAATGAGAAGCGTACCAAGAAAGACTTTCGTCTCAATAACGATGATGACAATAGACTGTGGGTTCGACTACCGGGTGAAAAGGGCGATAAGGAAGTGAAACCGATCAACCTCGTATTCGATGAGACAGAAGAGTTCAATGAGATCGTGAAGAACTTCATCATGACTGGTATGCGCGAGTACAACCAGTGTTTCGTCACCATCATGGCATACAATCTCATGTTGACACATGACGGAGAACCCAAGATTCTCAACCTCACCGATGATCGATTGGGACACTTCCGCATCGTTCGCCGAGATCGTATCGACGAGTGGATCGAGGACTACCTAAAGTGGTACAGAAATGCCGTAGAGGAACAGGAGACAGAGGGCAGCGGGTTCGTGTACCATGGGTGGATCGGCTTCCATGTCGAGATGTTCCCTCTTCGCACATACATAGGACACAAGCATCCAACACCGTTCGTCATCGGACGCACAGTAATCAACCTGAACATCGATGATAACCGATGTCTGCAACGGTGTCTCATTCTGGCAAGTGAAGGCGGACACAAGATTATTGCGAATCGCAAGATTGGCGATGCAACCGTGTACAATAAGTGGTATAAACAACCCGATAAGTACACAGTATTCGGAGTGACCATTCACGAAGTGGAGGAGGCGATGGACATTCGCGACAATGCACCCTTCAACGCGAGTGAAGAGAATTTTGCGAGATTGGAGGCATTGTTGAAAGTATCACTCAATGTATTCGAGGTCACACTCTTGCCTGGATACACCGATGAGACGAAGGAGCAATTCGATTTATTCACATGCGATGTCGTGTACAAAGGTAAGGAGAAATCACGTTCCCCTCTCCCTCTGCATCTTGAACGATCTGAATCTACCTGAAAGCACTCCCAAGCATTTCTTGTACATCAAGGACTTGAGCGATTTCAAACATCGCATCTTTCGTCAGAGTGATGTGAAGAATAGACATACAGCAAGAAACGTGAAGTGCAGGTTTTGTGATGACTTCTTTGGATCTCGCAAAGCTGTTCATGATCACGAAGTACAAGCACATCGAGAACTCGTCAATGAAAGCGAGGAGTACGAGTTGGCGAATGAGGAGACTCGGTTGCGATTCACCAACCAGAGATACGAAATGCCAGCACCGGTCTTCGTGTACGCTGACTTCGAGTCAGCCATTGACGACAAGAACAGATACAAGCCAATCATGCTATCCTGTCTAGCCGTGTCACGCATTCCAGCCATTGATACCCAACTTCGAGTCTTTCATGTACCACACGAGAGCGAAGAAGATCTTCGTCCTTTCATGGAGTATCTCATGCAATTGCAAGAGAGTGTGAAAACGTATCTATTCGATGAATTGCCATTGGAGAGCACATCGAAGGTCGAGAGGGACTTTCGTTCAGCAACCGTGTGTCCCTTCTGCCACAAGAAATTGGAAAACGACAAGGTTAGACATCATGCACATGTGGCAGGTGAATACACCACAGGAAATGGAGAAGTACGCCACTTCGAAGCCGGACAGTACATCTGCACCTGTTGTACCAAGTGTAACCTACAACTCTCCTTCAACAAGAAGAACTATCGTCTACCAGTCTACTTCCACAATGGATCGCACTACGACTTCACATTCATCATGAAGCTCATCGCGACGATGCCTGGCGGGAATCTCGAAGTCATTCCAACCACTAAGGACAAGGAAATGCAGATCGAGTACAATGGCATTCAATTCAAGGACTCGTTGAAACTCATCAGTAGTCCACTGCGTTCCATCGTTGCACAGACACTTTGGAGGTAACTTGGACCTCTGTGTGCACACCAAAGACCAACTATGCAAGTACTGTGATTCTCAAGGTAAGCAATGGAGTGACGAATACATCGATTTGTTGACACGGAAGGAACCCATGTTTTACAGTCTCATCAAATCATACGAGACGATGAGCAATAGAGTCATTCCTTCTCGTGAGCAATGCATTGATGATATGAAGGGAGAAATGATGCCACAAGACGAATATGATCACATGGTGAAGCTGTGGAAGACCTTCGATATCAAGACATGGGGTGAATACTACGAATTATACAATGTACTCGATGTGACTCTCATGGCTGATGCATTCGAGCATTTCCGAAACACTACACTGAATGCATTCGGTGTTGATCCCATGCATTACATCACAGCACCACAAATGGCCTATTCGCTCTTCTTGAAGGTGACAATGGAGGGTAATCATAGTGAGAGTAGCCTCATGACCCTCGCAAGGAAATGGGCTCAGTACATCATGCGCATCAACGCGAATGAGGGACTTGCCGAGAAACAACTGGTGAAAGTGTTCTTGAATCGCATGGGTGAATTCTATGAGAGCAAGGGCATTCGATTGATGGAGACAAATGATATCGATGACTTCATGCGATTATTGAAGAACCTGCGAGGAGGTATCACACAGATCGTGAAACGGCATGCCAAGGTTGACATTGACAACAAGGAGCAAACAACGTCGTCCCAAGGCATCTACTACCTCGATGTGAACAACCTGTATGGAGGAGCCATGCATCGAATGATGCCTTACGAGTTGGTGGGTGTACCTGAGCGACGAGAAGTGATGGAGAAGATCAATCGTGATCCAAATGGATGGGTGCAATCATTCAAGACGTTCGGTAAGTATGGATACTTCATCGAGTGTGACATCGAGGCACCAGTGGAGCTGCACGACAAGTTCAATGATCTGCCATTCTTTCCCGTACAGAAGGCGGGCATGTACTCTGATGGAATCAAGAAGTACGCTGAGAAGAACGACATTGTGGACAAAGTGAAAGAGGTGAATACACCGAAGCTCATCTGTGATCTTGTACCTCGTCGCAAGTATCTCGTGCATTACTCTCTGTTGCAACTGGACATTCAACAGGGATATCGAGTCACACACATTCACCACATCATTCGATTCAAGCAGGCACCGTTCATCTTCGAGTACGTGAACATGCTGAGTGAGAAACGAGCTAAATCCAAGACCACTGTGGAGAAGAACCTTTACAAGCTGTTGGCAAACTCGACCTATGGCAAATTTGTGGAGATTGGATTGAAACGGATGAAAGTGAAGTTCGCTAACACATGGAATGAACGTGAGGCAATCATTCAGAAGCATGGGTAAGATGTGATTGCTGGAACTACCATGTATTCCGAGAATCTCATCGGCATTAAGTTGAATACACCGGTGCGCAAGGTGGTGAAGCCATTCTGTATCGGGTTCGCCATTCTGGACATGTCCAAGCGCATCATTTACGATTTCTACAACAATGTGCTCAAGACGACATTCGATAACGTGGAGCTGTTGGGACAGGACACGGACTCGCTCATCGTACAACTGCACGATCGCGCTAACATCGTTCACAAGATGTGTGACATGTACAAATCGTTCGACTTCTCGGAATTGGACAACACGAGCTACTTCTATGGTGAACTCGTGAAGTATTACGATCATGAAGTGGACAAGAACAAGTTCCCTTCATTGGACTCGTTCCTCAATTTCAACAAGAAGTTGCCTGGACCCATCTTCAAGGACGAACACAACGGACATCGTATCACAGAGTTCGTTGGATTGAGACCGAAGATGTACTGTTTGGTTGATGAGAAGCATGTGATACACAACGCAGCAAAGGGAATTCCTCGCAACGTGGTGATCGATGGAAAGAGAATGAGTGTAAAGAACATCGACTTGTACAAGCGTGTCCTTAAGGCAGAAAAGAAGGGAGATGCAGTGATCGAAGGTGGCTTCAAGCGAATCAACAACCAAGGATTCGATATTACCACGAAGGAGCAGACCAAGACACACATGACGTGCACGGATAACAAGCGATGGATCTTGGACGACAACGTGCATACACTTGCGTTCAGTCATTACCGATTGTCGAGAGTATAAAGGAGAAGTTAATATTCATTTTGGACAGCAGGGTGAAAAATGGCAGAAAACGTATGCCCGAATTCGGGACTACGGTCTGAAGGTGGGAATTCTCACGTTTAGGCAATGGCAGGCAATGGCAGGCAATGGACGGCAATGGCAGAAATTGTCCGAAAAGGCGGCCAGGTGGAAAAAGGCGAAAAATGGCAGCTATCGGTTTACATGCGTTTCCCGCCATGGTCTTCGAAGCAGCCAAAATAAGCTAAGGTTATTTTTCGTCCTTTACTTCTTATGAAAGCCAAAAAACCAAGTGCATTACAGTGAGCAATGGTAGATGGGGTTTGAGGGGTGATTTCGGACGACCAGCTTGTAGGTGACTGGTTTTGAAGAGCATCTTTGGACGAAAAAGGCGACCAAATGCCTCCTCGCGTTAGGAGCCATTTCTCTACTGCTCATGGAAGTCATGGTTTGCGAGGCTACTTTTAGCGGCCGGCATGTAGTTGACAGAGTTTGAAGGGCGACTTTGGCAGATAATGGCCAAAAAAGGCGGCCAATAATTATCGCGCAATACACGCCAGTATATAACTACTTACATCAACTTGAATAGGCTTCATGCTTCATAACTCATCATAAACTAGTTGGCTCCACAATTCTCACTTTTTTGTTTAGGTAAGTATGACTTTCTTTGCTTTGTTGCTGGGACGTTAATCTGCAAGTGTGAAAGTCACTTGTATGATATCTACACCAGCATAGAAGATTGCTGAACCTCAAAGCTGCCGAGAGCTTTCTCTGCGGTGGTTGTGTCAGCGGGACATTTTATATCTAACCGTACTATAGGCTTTTCTTTGTTTGTTGTAAATCTTAAGTTCAACTTTAGCCATGTCCGCCAGGCCTAAGGCACTGCTGATTACCGTGGGAACAACAGGCTTTGACAGTCTTATCAAAGTGGCATGTTCTAAAGCCTTTGTGGAGACGGTAGCCTCTCTACAGTTTTCTATAGTGTACATGCAGTATGGATCATCTGCAAAGGAATACGATGATGAGTATTATGGGAAATACAATGTTTTAACCGACTTCCGTTTTCACGTCCTAGATACGGATAGTTGCTTTTGACTACTGCGATTCTTTAGCGGGATACATAAAGAATGTGGACCTAGTGGTAGGTCATGCAGGTATAAGCTGATCTTTCTATTGTTTTGTTAAGGTGCTGGAACGATTCTCGATTCGCTACGGGCAAAGCGGAGTCTAGTCGTTGTTGTAAATGAAAGCCTGATGGGAAACCATCAACAGGAGATTGCGGCTGCCATGGCAGAGAAGAATTACTTACTCAAAGCAACTCCCGAAACGTTATGTTCCATACTGAAACAACTTCCTGAAACTGTGTTTACCCCGTATTGTGTGGAAGAAAATGCCTTATGTAGTTATCCCGATGCTCAGCCTCAGCTGTTTTCTTCCTTTTTAGACAAAGAAATGAATTTTGATTCTATTGTTTGTTTTAGAGGTTAGGAAAAATAACAGAGCGTCATTTTTCAGTTTAACTCTAACGTGAGAAGTGGCTCTGTTATTTATAAAAAGAAATACCATCGCAATAATCTGATATCGAAAAACTATATAATACAACATGACTATTAACGACATAGTCTCATTCTTAATGGTGGGTAGTATTGTTTTAAAATACCTAGTTCCTATATCCAGAAGGATGGTTGGAATAGTTATTATTCGTAAAATATAGATAAGAGGATCATCACATTATAAAAGATATCCAGCTCAAATAGGGTGTGTTCAGAGTCCGAAATGTCCAAAGCAAAATTATATTGATGATACAGCTGTCCTTACGGGAGATGTTCAATTATTAGGATGGAATTCTGTTTGGCATGGATCTACTATTCATGGTAATCTATATTTCTCTTGTGACCCTTTAGCTGCTAGATATCCGGTAAAACTCGAGCCTTATTCCCAAATTTGTAGCAATGTTACAATCCATGCTAATGGAAATCCCTCCTCACTCCCAACAGTAATTGGGAGAAGAAGTGTTATTAAGGAAGGCTGTCTCCTTGAGGACTGTGTTATCGATCCACTCTGTTATATTGGTACAGGCTCAATAATTGGCAAAGGCTGTCACATTTGCAGCGGTTCAATGATCACCCCGGGATCTATACTCTTGCCTAATGTATTGGTACCAAAGGGAGAAATATGGGGTGGTATTCCAGCATGCAAAATTAGGGATGTAACCGAAGAAGACCGCATAAGAGTAACAAGAGAATGGCGGGAGCTAGCCGAACAATCTAAATCTTTTATCAATGAGGATGAGGATCTAGACTTAACCCAAACAATAGACTCTTCAAATTCTTCAAATGTTTCAGATTCTTCTAATGCTATAGTTGCTACAGATGCTATAAGTGATTTGCAAAGTATTCTTCTGTGTTATTCTGATAAGTTGTTCGGTCGTGTACCAAGAATCAGTGCCAGTGACTATAATGTTGGTGATGACGGTGGCGGTGACTTTGGTGACTTTGGTGACTTTGGCGGTGACTGTGGCGATGACTAGGTTCAAAATGGAAGTGTATTCTATTTTTGTTTACTGTGATGTACATATTATAATCATAACAAATGTAATTGGAACCTTCTCCTGGAAAGTTATTACAAGTGTCATACATAAACAAACTTCAACTTTATGGTCTGTGCTCTGTTTTCACCACAAACACGCAAACAAAAAGTAATGATACAACTCAGACGGACAAAGAGATGCGATAGTCCACCGTTCGATAAACGAACACGCCTGCCTGCGTGTCTTTCCAACAGCTCGCATCAAGTCGCAGATCCATGCACATCGACTCCAACGCTTCGACCAGACTCTGCTTTTGGAGCAAGAGAACACTTGAAATCCTCGTTTCTGCACCGACTCGAGGATAAGAAAGATAAAGACTATGAGGAGGGATGAGGATCTAAAAAAAAGAATCTGCGGGGTTCGAACCTGCGACGTCAAGTTCACCAGAGAACGAAGCGGGTATTGAAGAACGATGCGACGTTCGATCGAATGTTCTTTCGAATTCCCCTCTCGAACATACCGAATCTCAGGAGGGATCAAGACTTCTCGCATGGGTGAAATGAAGGAACAATAACAATAATAGGAACAATCATATACAATGCCAACAACAATCAGAGAACACTAATAGGAAGACTATTAGAAACACTATTAGAAACACTATTAGAAACAATAATAAAAAGATATGGAAAATGAAACTCACAAGAACTCCAGAAATCCCGGCGATTTCTCTCTCCGCCAGCGTCCGAAACGCCTCTTTGAGATAGAAGAGGACGTACTGCACGCTGTTCCGCTGCGAGCTGATCCGATTCACGCATCCATTTCGCAGGAGCACTTCCTCTCTACCCCTCACCGCTCTCCTCCTTCCCCACTTCTCGTTCAGCCAATGAAACATCACGCACACGTTCTGGTTCTTCATCTCCGAGAACGCCAGCAGCTTCGACGCCGTCGCGTTCGCGAACGCCTCGCTCCACCGCCTCGTTCTCGCCTCCTCCGACCGCAGAATCGCCTCGAAGGCTCGCTGCAGCGCCGCGTTGGGCAGTCGGTCTACGCCTCACCGCTCCGCTCGGCCCCCACAATCGATCGGGTTGCTGTAGTGCACTCCCAGCGGCGCGCTCAGCCCCCAGTCTACGCGTCAGCGCGGCAGGCGGAGCGAACAGAACGGATAGAACGGCTGCGAGGTGAGCGAGGCGTCGAAAAACGCGGAGAACGCGAGGACGAGGCCGGGGGCGCGCCAGTTGAAGGGGAGCGCGGCCAGCTCGGAGGGCGCGCAGAACTCCAGGAAATTCCCGTGGGAGAAGGAGGGACGGAGCGGCTGGCGGTGAGAGGAGGGGAAAGGGAGAACCTTGGTGAGGAAATCGAGGGGCATCGAGGAGGAAACGAACGAGGAAACGTCGGTGAAGGAGAGGACGAAGACTAGGAGAAAGGGTGGAAACAGTGGAAACGGCGTTTGGGATAGGAGAGAAGCAGCTTGGCGAGGGAGTAGAGCGAGGCACACGAACAGTGCTCGATGGAGAGGATCAGATAGCGGAACGAAGCGTGCGCGCTGTGGAGAATGGATAAAAGCTGGAGAAGCAGCTGATCGTTCTCCTCATTTGCTCGCTTCTGGGGCGTGATCAAAGAGGAAGGACTACTTTGATGCGTAGCTTACGGATAGAGGTAAGGTACGTAATGAGGTCCTGATCGGCCAGTTGAGAGTAGAGCACATCATCGAAGATGTTGTACGACATGGTACATCCTTCGCTTTTTGCGTTGTTTGGAGATAAAGTGATTACAACCGTATCGACTTCGATACTGCTTAGCGCTTCAAAATAGGGTATAAACTATGCGTGATTCTACAATGGCTTTTGCACATATTTTCCAATATCTGGATACCAAAATAGCGAAGCTCCCATAATTGCACTGGTTTGAACACCCCTCCCATGATACACCTGCTGCTGATAAAAATAATATTCTGTTACACTATAAAGACTGCTGTTTGACTTTTGCTGCCCCTGAAACATCTCAATGGAGTTAAACGACGCATTGTCGCTCGGGACAAACTCCATTTTTCTCTCTGCACATACAAAAATGATAGCAATTAAGAAGAGTATAATAGGACTCTTCATAACTCAAAAAATGGGAAAAAGGCGATGAATGCCAATTTTTGGAATTCCAGTCTCATTCCATTTTACTCTTCCTAGATGGTATGAATACTCCGAACAAGGAAAGGAGTTTGTCTTTGCCCCAAAGACCACTGCTCCAGTCCTCAAGTAGTCGTTTGGATCGATTGGTTTATTGTGCAGTGGGTCCGCGCCGAATACAGTTGTCTGTACAGGAAACCAGTTTGCGAGACCATGGGGACAGCGCTTTCCCTCGAACGCCATTAAACAAGCAAGAGCGCTTATCTACGTCACGAAAGCGTTTCTCTCCGGTAGAAGAAAAAGAAGAAGCCAAAACCCCGGAAGGCCATGGAGCTGGAGAACGATTTCAGGAGCGGAAGTTTTCTTATTCCTCTGAGAAGCGAAGCCAAGAGAAGAAGAGAAAATCGATGTCTTCTTTTCCTGAGGATAGTCCCTCCATGGCAGTACCCAAGAATTTGCTAGATACAATCATTGTAATATGCTTAGCAGTATTTTGTAAATATAGATAAATGGGAAAAAGTACATCAAGTTGAAATTGATTGGCGAGGGAGGGAGTAGCAAGGTGTACCGTGTAATAAACGAATCAAACGACGTTTTAGCGCTAAAGTGTGTGAAGCTGAGCACCGATCCGTCCAATCAAGTCCACAACAATGATTTCCTCAACGAAGTGTCCCTTTTGAAGTCCCTTCGTGGCACTCCCGGCATCATCGAGCTGATCGACAGCGAACTCAACAAAACCGACAACATCCTCCACATCGTCCCTCTCCCTCTCTCTCCTCACTCCCAGCTCCTCGAATGCGGCGAAACCGACCTGAAATCCTACCTCGCTCGCTCCCGCGAGACCAACGAATCGCTCGACATGAACTTCATCCGCCTGGTGTGGCAGCAGATGCTCACCGCCGTGAACGCGATCCACAACAAGCACATCATCCACAGCGACCTCAAGCCCGGCAATTTCCTCTTCGTCAAGGGCCAGCTCAAGCTCATCGACTTCGGAATCGCCAAGTCCATGCCTCCCGAAGCCACCAGCGTGCTCCGCGACAGCCTCATGGGCACGCTCTCCTACATCTCTCCGGAAGTGCTCCTCGAGACGGGAAATGCCGGCGACCACGGCGTCCGCGTGGGCCTTTCCGAGCCGAATGAAGCGTAGATCCGCCGGTCTGCGGACGTCTGGTCGCTTGGCTGCATCCTCTACCAGATGGTGTACAAGCGATCGCCGTGGCACGGGCTTTCCCAGCACCAACGCCTCCTCGCGATCGTCCAGAGCTCCTTCCAGATCCCGTTCCCGTCGCTGTCGTAGGCGCTGATCGATTGCTTGACGCGAGAAATCCATGGCTGCTGGACGTCATGAAGGCCTGCTTGCAGCGCGATCCCGCGAAGCGGCCGGCGATTGAGGGCCCGAACGGGCTGCTGGAGCATCCGTTCTTGCAGCCGCAGGGGCAGCGCGCGCTGCAGCTGTACAAGCAGATGTCGATGGACAACGCGATCATGCGGGAGGTGATTCGGCAGATCCACGAAGTGGCGAGGGATCAGCGATGGGAGAAGGAAGGGATCGTGCCGTTGGTGACGAAGGTAGGGCAGTGGAGAGGGGTGAAGGGAAGGAACTCGTCATTCAGAGGGCGAGGAATCGGCCGATCGATGTGAAGGCGGCGTTGACGAATGCGGAGAGGAAGTTGGCCGTGTAGTGTGTGTACTCTATGTGTGTTTGTTGGAAAGAAAGAGAATAGAGGGTTGTGTGTTGTGTACAAATGTGTGGAGGTGGAGAGAATGGTTATTATGGTAAGGAGTGAACAAGGGGATTGAAATAGATAGATGAAAAGACAGAGGAAGGGTATGATGTGTTAATAGCAGTGAATTGGGATTGGAGCGACTGATAATAATAATAATAATAATAATAATAATAATAGTAATACAATTCATACTTTGGATCCTATTCCCAATTGGTCTTGTATATAAATGACGAGTCGCGTTTTGATATCTTACCACTCCCTTTTCTTCATTTCCGATATCTCTCT